GTGTTCTTGGGCAAGACGCTTTACTCTCACAGTGCTTCTCTTTACCCAGGTGCACAAATGGGTACCAGCAAATGTGCTGGGGGTAACGCTGCGATGGACTAGCATCCCATCCAGGGGGGAGTAGCAATACTCCTAGCCGCTTCATGCTAGGAAAACCGGAGTTAAGCACCGGCCCCATGGGCCACTTGGGCCCGCATAAAGGCTTTTACTTTTTTACATTGTTGATACAAAAGGGGCTTTCTTTATCCCTGTCCGGTGCTTTTGATCCAAGGCCAAAGCTTTTAGCAAAGACTACACGGCCAACTCTCTGCTAATGGCCAGCTCTCTGCAGCCATCTCATTATGTCAAGCCCTTTTGAGGATTTTATGTGTATTCTCGGTAGATTTTCCTTTTGGTATGATTCTGTTTCTCTAATATTTGTTTCTTCGCAAAGATTGAAACGATTTGTGCACTACTTAAATTAGTCTTTGTCAGACTTTCTTAAATGGAGATATACGAAAACGAAGGCGGGCGAAAAATGGTGGGAATGGGGCCGTTTCCCAAGATGACCATCTGGCGTTGTTTGCCCGCCACCGACGAAGGGTTTAGAGGAGATTATAAACTTGCGACAGTTGTCTGGCAGTAAAGCTGACGTGTTGCAACATGCGATACCCTGCGCGAAATTGATGGTGATCCTTTGGTATCGTCTACTGTTCAGGTCGCTTTGACAAAGTTGGATTGATTCAATGCCTTTTGCTGATTCTTCACCACCAGTCTTCCAGTAGGTACAAGTCTCTTGATACATTGTTTACGACTTTACATAATAATGTATCTGTGTTTATTCTGTAGCGTCCTTTGTGTGAAAATCTTTGAGGCGCGGTTGTCGTAAAGGAGGTTGAGATTTCTTTCCCTTGGCCTAGATCCTTTGTCCATATCGATAACTTTAAATAGATAAAACAAAAAACTAGTTCATTACTTCATGTCAGTCCTCGTCACAACACATGCCTTCTTCTTTCGGTTAAATTACCTAACGTGTCTCAACACTTTCTATCAAGATAATCTGTTTTAACGGGATATGGAAACGTATGTGTAAAGCGTAACTAGGAGAAGAAAAAGCCAATTACACTTTGTTGGATGGTTCAGAACGATAACTAAAAGTTGTCTAAATACAACTACCTTTTCCATCAATGATGGCACCGGCTGGAATGATATAGGAGTTATATGCCATCCTGGCGATAACATTGTGATATATGATAGAAATAATTAAAAGACGCTATTTAATATCAGTAGAAGTGATGAGGCCACCCTGATAGTTTAAAAAGTGACTGAAGATGAACAAACGATTTTCCAGTGCTAGCAGTCTCCACGCTAGGAAACTCTTGGACCTACAGGATTTTCCTGAACTTTACAAGTAGGTATCAATTAGGTGGAACGCATCTTTTCATAGCGGTTTATTTTGGTTTCCTATGATTTGGACACACTTTTTAACTTTTGCCGGGCTTTTATTTTGTTAAGACAAAGGAAAACGTGTGCGGACGAAAAGTAGCGGAGATTTAGCCCTTTCCCATGGAAACCACCAAGCATCGTTCACAAGCCACCGACCCAGCACCTTTGACAGGCTACGCGCGCCTACTCGCTTGACGCTGACGGTTGCCTGGCAGCTAAGCTGTTGTGAAAGTAAAATGTTATACGTTGCACGCCATTGAAAGTAATCTGTCGTCTTGTATGCGTTTGTTGAAGAACATAGCCTCGGTTAACATAACTTCGGCTCTTAACAAAATTGGATTAACAAGGTTTGGTGGAATATTTCTCTGGCTGATTCTTCATCGACAGTTTGTCGGTAAGCTTAGGGCTTTCAATGCCTTGTTTATCACTTACATGGTTTTCGTATCTGTAAGTTTTTGTGATGTAGCTTTGATATCAGCGGGGATCATGCTCCAAACAAGGTCGTGAGCGTATGGCTGTTGAGACGGTGTAAAGCATATAATTCTCATCTTGTGTACTTGATTCATACATAAGATCGTAAATATTCGTAGATCACATGCATTTGCGATTCATAGTTTTCGACTTATCATGGGGAGATAGATTCTGTCGAAGCACTGAGGATGTCTTAATGCAAGGTCCAATATATTTTGATAATAATTACATTCTTCAAAGCAGAAGAAAATTAGCGCACATTTAAGACGCTTTTTCCTTTAATCGTATGATCGTTGAGTCATAAAGGCTGGCTGGCTTTGTATTTATGTTATCGGATTTCACCCGTGAAGTCATGTTTTTGTTTAGTCAAAATATAACACTGACTCACAAGGAGATAATCTGTTTTATTTAACGGAATAAGGAAACCGAGAAAACTTAAGCAAAGGGGCTAGGAGCCGTAGATTGATTTATTACTCTTAGTGATCAAGTTTACAAGTGCGTTTCAACTTGATCAATGATTCGAAATGACGACAATTTCGCCGAAACATTCCAGGTTCCTTTGAGCAAATTAGGATGCCATCTGTGGATGTAGACATAAATAAGGCGAAGATAGGCGTAGAACTGTTATTATGTTTAAATTTTATGACCAAAATATGACACAATCCGCTGTCTGGAAAGATTGAAGCTCGAAAAGGAAAAACGAATATACACATTGGGTTGTTGAGTCTTGCGTGACTGATGTTATGTTACGCGTGATTGTTTGTCATGCTTTTAGCTTGAACACGATTATGGTTTCTGTGATCTGTCAATTTCCCTTTCTTCTATTGGGTGAATTGTTATTGTGCGTAAGATGATATGTACTCTAAATCCATAGCATCGCTCGCGATTTTGAAAGATGAACTCCAATGTTTGCTAACGCTTTCACATTTGTTAATGTTTGTTTATACTGAGGTTCTGCTAAGAGTTAGTGTTAAATTGTTACCAAAAATAGAGGTAAGCTTTGTTGTCAACTGCAGCTTTTCCGTGCTCAGCACTGCAAATGCTAAATGAGCCTAACATGAGTTTTAGTTTTCTTTTACTATTTTTAACTTTTTTGATGTTACGCAGAAGAGAATTGACTACGTGACGTGCTTTCATTTAGCACTCGCCTAAGGGAGGCTTACAGGCAGAAATGGTTCATTGGCTTTTAAGAGATCGACAACAATGTGTTGATAACGGCTAAATATTATTGTTTGAGGTTTCCTGCGTAATTGGAGGTGTAAACTTAACAATTAATTCTTAGAATCATTGTGGTCAGAAATAAATAATTAAGTTCTCTGACGTCGACCACATTAATATCCGGAGTGTTTGTTTTGGCGCTGTGTCACAAATGTGAAATGCAAAAGCAAATGCCGCTAGCAATGTTTTAATGTGTCTGCCTTTATTGTTAAATTTGAAAAGATCCGAAGCTGTTCTTGATCAAACTGATAAGAGCTCCAGGCAGGCACAAGGAACTGAATTACCCTTTGTACTAAAAACCAAAAGAGAACATAATCTGTTTCTACGAAAAGTTTTCCTTCTTTCGAATATTCAGAGCCTCAGTTCATTTTTCTATTGTTGTTATTTTATATTTTTTAACTCCTTGGACATCCCAAGGGCAAAAGACAAGAAAGGCTCTGGAATGCTCTTGATAACGCAAACATATTGCGAGGGCTTTTTTCTGCCAGAAAATAGATTTATTTTAATTCATAGATATATTAATTTTTGCAACGTCACCCTCTAGGTGTGCCTAATCAAGAAAAACCGGCTATTTTAATTTCCCATTTATGAAAGGTTCTTTGTCGTTATTTAAGTGTTCTAGATCTTACTGATTGCCCCTCGATCGACACCTCTCGCAGTCTGAGATAATCGCACGCGATAAACGTCGAATAACTTGCCGTCGTGATTCTTGCCGTACCTCTTTAGTTTAATACAAGTTGAATACGATGTCGTCGCTTTCATTTGTAAAGCATAGTTTCAGTTATATCCAACTTGAAAGAAAAATGGAAGGAACAACATCCTCAACTTCTTATCACAAATCATTCTTCTTTCTACTAAAAATTCTAAAATTACTAAGCTATCGATACAAACTAGAAAGCTGGTTTTTTCTTTTCCTTCTTCTCCTTTAAGGGCAAAATTGATCTTCTTGCTAATGAATGTTTTCCTACGTGTTTTATTCTTTAAGCCCTGGCCGTCTTGAAACGTTCTTTCAGTAACGGCTTCATATTTTCCTTCACTCTTACGATAATTTTCACCTTAAATTTGTGAATTTTTTATTATTGAAATTGAAAAACAATTGCTGGACTGACAAGAACATCTCTTATTGGGGGGAAGGGGTGGGGGCTTTTGGTAAGAAGTCATATTGTATAAAGTTCTCAAAATGGTAGATAAAATTTGGGCGTGCAGTGATATTACGTAATATCTTAAAAGTGGCTGCTACTTTGGCTTACAAAAAGGAAGCAGTTTAGAGATCAATAATTTTACCACCCCTCTCCTAACACAAGATTCATGGAAATCAAACTACACCATTCTAGAAATGTAGCGAACGAATATTTTAACAAAAGTAACTAGAAGTGATCGAATATTTTGCAAAAATAAGTGATTTAGGGTTATTCAGTTTAAATCCATTCTTCAAAGAACAGTTACCTCTTAGTTCAGGATAAACAAAATTTGGAGTGAGTGAAAAGTTATATTGGTGGGAACACTCATACTGTTAATGTCAATTTTACGTTCGTGCAGCTGAGACAGGAAAAACGAGTACTTAGAGGGAAAAGAGGGCTCCCTTGGCACTGCCATAACCGTTATTGTATCTGTCAGCTTGGGTAGCATAGCATTGGGATTACTTCAAGCCGGTCTTCTTGAAAAAGGAAGTGTGTTTACCTTTTAACTCTCATGAGTGATCAAGACAGAATTTCTCCTTCTCCTTAATTGATCCAATATTCAATTTTCCGAACTGACGTAAGGCAAACAATAAGGAGAATTCAGTCCTTATGAGATCTTGGGTGTGAAAGGGATAATAATATGGTTACCCTCTAAGGAGGGTAACCGTTACTCTTCTCTGTATGATAAATTAAAAAGATTATGTCTTACTTCAAAATGTTGTAGCCACTACAGTACTGTGGACAAAACCAGCCCCAAGTTGGACCCAAACGGATTCAAATGACATCAGAACAGTTGATATTCAAGTGTTGAAGGGCAGCACCCACATACATCTCAGTTGGAATTACACTTTGTCAGAAGGTTCAGATCTGAAGATAACAACTTTTTCCATCAATGATGGCAGCAGCTGGAATGACATTGGAGTTATATACCATGCTGACAATGACATTGTGATATATAGCAAAAATAATTACAGGACGCGATTTAATATCAGCGATAGTAATGTGACCACCCTGATATTAAAAAAAGTGACTGAGGATGAACGAGCAACTTTCCAATGCAAGCTCTCCACGCTAAGTAACTCTTGGACCTACAGTATTCTCGTGAATTTTACAAGTAAGTGTCAGTTTGGTGATATCCATCTTATTACATCCGACGCATTGTGTAAAACTCCAGTCTTAAATCACTCTCGTTACTTTTTATTGTTTAATTTATCAACCAACCCCAACTGTGTCTCTTTGATAAAAATGTCTGGTTTTGGTATCCGTACTTCCCCTCTGTATTCAATATGTCCTAAGATATACTACTACCATGACCAAACTTTCAAACCCAGTGTCGAGCTTTGGAAGGATTTGCTATTTTTGATCTTCAGTCAAGACCCTTTATAGTTACAGTAGCTGGTAGCCCCACCAAAATGTTATGGGGTCGAAGGTTACCCGGAGTGATCAGCAAGCTACAGTTATAGCACGCGTAGCTGTTCGCATGTCTGAGAAAGTTAACAGAAAAAGCGCCCAATTTTTCTTAAAATGACCCCAAGTGCCCCAAAACTATGCAAAACAGCATAACCCAAAAACCAGCTTTAAAACATTCTTATAACCACGCCGGTAAGGCAATGGTCCTTGTATTATCTCCTTAGAGTCAAAGAGTCTCAATTGGGAGTGTATATCACATTAAAAGCAGAACCATGTGCAATTTCCGCTTTGAAGGTGCAATAGTCTGACGTATGGGAAGAATGGCGGTTTAAATTGATTTAGAATTGACGATTTTGGCTTATTTTTTTGCCAGAGCGACATCTGAATTGGGTGGAGCGACCGTTATCTGTTGTTGCTGTTGAACGTCACAACCTCACCCTTCGGTGGACCTATATGAAGACACTTGGCCTAGCGTCGTCATTTCGAGAAGCAGAATTTACTGATCTTAGCAGCGGGGAAAAAACCATTGCAGAGAAAGTGTTAAATACTGCACCAATCGTACATACAGCTTATAGACCTCGATTTCATGTGGATTGTATACAAGATACTATGGCGTCTATAACAATTGTTGGACTGAAAAGATCAGACAGAGGAAGATATAGATTTGATGTTAAAACCCTCAGGGAGGACATCAACGAACTGAACACGCTCTCCAGTATCCTGGAACTCACAGTGCATTGTAAGTAAACAAACAAAAGCTGTGTTTGGTCATGTAAAATGTGGCCTATATCTCTAAGACCAAGGTGTTTTTTTACTCAGTATAATGCGTATCATAACCAACGTAAGTTGCAACTTCATTGGGATGGATCGTCATTATTGTGATTGTGATTATCGTTATCCTTTTTGCTTCATCATTATCGTAAAGGTCATCGACATCATTATCGTTACTTTCAATTCTTTTCTGCATTCATTTTTTCGTTGTCGTCGTTGCTCAATTCGTTTTCTTCCTCCTGCAGAAAGTGACAACGTTTACATTTTGGGCGATACTTGTCGCTGTTAATTTAGGATCATTGTATATATACAAAGCTTTTGCCAGACAGCGTGTTATATAACTTTCTCGTATGGTGTTCTTTTATTTTTGTGTTAAATAAGCGCGGTCGCAACTAGTAAAGCAATGTGTGGATTTGACTTTAACAATAGTTTACTCGTTCTCTCTCTACTTTTTCTAACTAGTAAAATGTGATTTATTTTCAGATGCGGCGAACATGACCAATGTTAGCGACCACCAAACTGTGCAAGAAGGATCTTATCTTCAACTGTTATGTCAAGCATTTGGCAATTCAACCCCAAACATAACGTGGACCAAAGTGCTTGAAAATAGTAACCATTGTAAAGTGCTGCATCATGGAACCCATTGGAATTTAACAAAAATTAACAGAACTGCTTCTGGTTTATACAACTGTACAGCTGACAATGGAATTGGAAATCCAGTGTGGCGGCTGATAAAAGTCAATGTTACCTGTAGGTGTATCATACCTTGTCACCGCTTTGATTGGCATTGAGAATTTTAATTCCCATTATTTTTCCATCTCCCAAAACGACTGGTAAACCAAAAAATGCCTCGGTTGACGTTCAAGAAGTATGAGTGATAAATATCTTTAATAAGGTACTTCAAAAAAACCTCTTGACCGGGTGAAAGCATTTGTAAAAAGTACTCTTGTCGGCGTCAAGGACTGACGTTTCGACGACATATACAGAAACTGAAAAGTTGCTTGTCAAAGATAGGTGAAAGGGTTATGGTAAATGTTCGGCCCGTTTTACTGTGATCTTGTTTACTACAAAAGTTAATCAGCGTCAGCAATTCATCCTAACAGCAGACGCTAGCTGAAGTGGATTATTTTTACTCTTCTCTGCTTGTTTTTGTTACTTAGATTCTGCTAAGGTTGTTAAACTTGCTCGCGAACATCACGTTTCAGTACAAGGAAGTGTGCGTCTTCACTGCGAAGCCGAAGGAAATCCTCCGCCTGCTTACACGTGGTTCCCTTGTGATTCACAGACCCAAGTATGTCATGAGAGCACACTTACTGTTTCCAACGCTCTTAACTACGCCGTGTACTCTTGCAATGTGGCAAATGTTTTGGGCAATGATACAAGAGAGACCAAAGTTGTTAAGTTTTAATTAAGCGATGCTAACTTAGAGTTATGAGGAATTTTTACATAGCTTCCTTTATGAAAATTTAATAACAACTTCGCAGATCTCCTTTGGTATAACAAACGATCACTGAATGCAACTTATTCCTAAATGTATTTAAACCTGATCATCACCTGCAAATAATTATATATATTCAAGGAAAGTTTAATCATACTCGGCCAAGCACTGGAATAGCTAATATTATGAAATGATTAAGATTTCACGGGGTCATAATCAGTCATATCTTTCTATGTGGAAACCCATAAGTCATCATGCTAGCCATACCATGCTGACGAGGCTCAGCAATACTGAAATAGCTGACATAGTTGTTAACTCGGTGTCTTAATTTTCCCGCTTATTTTCTTTGAAAAAGACCTCACTTGACTTCCATTGTTGCCGCTGTGTCGCCTCCAGTAGCATAACACAGCTTTAAACTAATGTTGCTTGTTTGTTTTATCAAATAGTTATAGCAGGCAATGTGATAAATGTGACACTTTTCATCAGTGAACAGTGTCCTGATGAAAATTTATCTGAATCCGTGTTGTGGAAGAACCTCGAACAAAAGGTAACTATTAGGCATGTGACACCACCACACACGTAAATAGATACCTTTATTCAGCAGAACGGTGATGATGTACATACGGGGTTCGCACTGTATAATTTTGCTATCGTTTCTTGTAGATCGAAGACCTATTTAAAAATGAAGGATACAGGAGCACAGAATTAACAAATTACAGGTATGTAGGCGAAATGAATTATTACCTGGGTAATCTGTCCTTTTTATGTATTTAGAAAGATGTTGCTGTGGACTTACTGTGACTCAGGCAAAAACATGATGTATTACAATAGCTGGAATTCCTACCCTACTCTTTTTTAGAAATGTCTGCAGGTTATTTTTCAGTCCTCTGTTGAACTTATTACATTGAGGATGCACGAGAAAGGGGCCTAAGGTTTGCAGCCAGTTACTCTGAGATACTAGAAAGTCTTAGGATTTACAGCTGTTCTTATAAGTAGACCTGTTTTTAAATTCTTGTTTTTGTTCTGACCCTCCAAGGTGTGGTAGTGTGATTGTTGATTTGGCCTTGAAGTTCAATTCCTCTGTTAAAGAAGAGAAGGTGCTTTCAATGCTAAAAGATTCTTCAGAGAATGGAGGGCTGAAAGAGTTGGGTGTAAAAGCTTCAGAAATAGTAGGTTGGCGACCCGGAAGGCCAACTGAAGGACCCAACAGCTCAACGTATGGCACAAAATCTACTGAAAATGCATGTAAGTAGGAATGAAAAGCGAGGATATCACTAGGACCAGTCCAGGACATTATTAGTTGCTGTAAGATGTGGTGTGTTATAATTTTTTTAATCACCTTTTAAAGTTGATAACTTACAAGTATAGATAAATCGATGCCACTATTGTCTCCGGAGGGGAATCGATTCGTTGGTAAGGCAAGCTCCTGACGTAATTATATTTGCCAGGATATTCCGAAGTGTGGCCAACAATATCAATTTTAAAAAACACTACATGATGGACGATTTTTGTTTTCTTCTGTCAGATATAGTAATGTTAAAAGTTGAAAACATGAAAAACTGCCGAAAGCTTTGGCTACTTAACCTTTTTCAGCATTGTGATTTGCGACTCGTGACTCTTTACATTCGCTAGCCAGTGAATTTAAACTTGTTTGTGCTTGCATTAAATTGAATGCCTCAGCTTTACATAAGTTACATTTACATTACTTCCTTTCCTCAGCATCCGCTGTACCTTCCGAACTCCTTGCTCAGAGCGGGGATAACCAAGGTCTTAAGAATAAGATGATTGTTGTTATAGCTGGTGTTTCTGGTCTTGTCCTCCTCTTTGTCGTTATATTCTTACTTTGTTGGATCAGTAAAACTCAGAAGAAGAAGAAGGGCTCCGGAGGTAAGAAAATCACGCTATAAGTATTACCATTAGTGTAACACTGACACCACTATCGTTTCATCTTCCGCGATTTGGAAGCATTTTTAATTATGGTATTTTTTTTTAATTTTTATCCCACCTCCCCCCCCCTACCCCGCGGGGCGAGAAGGTTCAGGTAAAAGTAAAAGCCGCTACCAAAGCTGTTTTCCTCGACTTTGAACATACATGTCCAATGTTGTTGTATAAATCAAGTTGGTGTCGATTATATATTTGCCTGGTTTTCTCTTTACTTTGGGTGACAATACGAGAGATGGTTTCCCTTTGCTGATACTCCACGACCACGTGAGCTTCATGCTAATTACTTTCAGACCTCTTTTTTATTGTGAATAATTTCTTCGAGTTTACGATGTAACATAGTTTAATCTGATGATAGTAACGGGCATGTCATATTAACAAATACTTATACATTTTTTTTGCTTTCTTTCAAGATGAAGCCGTTGACATGTCGACTACTTCGAGGTAAATTTTACTTTTTTCTGTTGTGATAATTTTCATGCGAAAGAGCGCTGTCAAATCTGCTTTCGCTTTTTACAGGTAAGGTAAAATTGGTTACCGGGTTTGATCGACTAGTTTTATTAATTCACTAACAGACGCACCAAATTGCGGTAATTACAACGTTTGGCTCGCAATCAACAACTGATTACGTTTGTGTAGCTCCAAATAAGCGATCAAACGGATCACTAAGAGATGAAAAGTACGGCCAGGTCGCTTAGCTAGAGTGACATTGGCGGTGTTGAAGGGTAAATTTCCCACTTTCAAAGGCGAATTTCATTTGGTGAGGAGGATCTCACGCTGATAAGAACACTCTTGAGGTTACTTTGTTATACATCATTTACTTCATACAAATTGACGTTGGCGGAAGGCAATGTTTGATATCTGTGATTGTAGCTATTTGATACTGGAGAGAGCCTTTTTGTTGGAGTCAAACACATTCTCCAGTTTTTGTGATTCGCTTTATTCATTCGTCCGTTTCTTTTTTCTTTTTTTGTTTAGGTATGTAAAGAATGGCCCCCACCATTCTGACAAGCCTAGCTCTAGCAGGGAATCTATTGAAGATGATCCATTCATTGCTGCGTCCACTTATTCCAAGAATTCAGTCGATAGAAGGGACAGGAAGAGAGGTTCCAGTGTCAACTATGGATACCAACCAGACGGTAGAGAACTTAGGCTTAAGCCAACATTCTTGATCCATATGATGCCTTATAAGGCTAACAGTACAGAGTTTTCTTGATAACGTTGAATGTGGCTGTAATTAATGTAAAGTGTTTTCATAGGAACATAACTCAAATCGCAGCCATAGTTTATTCCAGTTCCTGAAGCGTGAAGTTAGCCGGTTAGTTGGGTGCTTTCTGTGGATGGGATGTTAGCTCGTTGAAGTTATCCCCTTTACCCAATATTTCGTCTGGTTTCTCTGACTATTCACCGGTTATCCTGTGTTGTTATGTAGACAACTGCCTGGAGAGGGGTACCGCGTAAAGTACGTGTCTTACCTTAAAATACAACACATTGACACAGACCATACTTTGAACCCCAACCTGTTGATTCTCTAGGGTTTTTTTTAAGCGTTACTAACGTGCCTAATGTAAACGGAAAAATTGGTTTGCCTGATCAACCACTCGCGTAAACAGACGGCTCTTGTTGCAGCCATCTCGACACTATATTTCTTTTCTTTCCTTCCCACGAGGTTGTCAATTTAGAAAATAGGTTAAAATTCTTTATGTACAAATAATGCATCATCGTGCAAATACTCTTTTACAGTCGAATCTGGTTGTTGCTAAATATCAAATTCGCAAGCAGTTATAAATTTCTCTGTTTTCTTTCTCTCCCCCCCCTCCCCACCACCTTTTTGTCTATCTTAGATTCAGATCAACCACAAGGTGAAATGCTGCTAAAATCAGGCTCCCGTCTCCCCAAAAATGACCGTCTTACGCAAAGTACAGGAGAGCTTGATGTGACCTCCACATATTTAGCGAAAGGACCACAGAGAGATTGCAGTACACTTCCCTCCTACCGCAGACCACCCTCTTATGAGGAAGCCTCGAAACAGAAAGATCGAGTAATGATGATTGAACCAAGGCCGAGTACATCCACAAGCGGCAGGCAGAAGCGACGGAAAAGTCCCCCGGAAGACAGGTTTCTGTATCACCATGTACTACATTCACGTACTCTCTATAAGTACCTCTATTCAACTCTCTCTTCTAAGGCCACTCAATTCTTTTGCGTCGCAGTGAATGGCTTCTTTCTTCCAAGCTGTGCTTTGCAGTGCTTTGTTATGCTTTGCTGTTTTCTGTTGTGTTTGCTCAGGTCAGCTGTACTAAGCTTTTTCATGCTCTCTTGTGATGTGCTCCACAGGGCTGTGGTAGGCTGTAGCTACGTAAGCCAACCTGCTATCACCGAGACTCCCATCAATTTTAGAACATACCATCCCAATGATCTTCCAATTTTCCTTCACAGACGTTAGGACAACGTCTATCATCTCTTGGAATCCCTAATGCATATGTCGAATTATGATTGTCATATTGTACACAGAGCGGAAGAAGCCAGTGTAGCACCAAGTGAAATGAGGTCTAATCAAGACGGACATAGAAGTGACAAAGACAAAGGACCTCTTGATCTAACGGCGATATATGCCATGCCAGACAAGAAAAAGAAGTTGGATAAACAAAGTCCTGCATCCCTTGAATCAGTTTTTGGTAAGATGAATTGAAACTAAAAAAAAGAATAAGATTAAATTGAAAATTAAACACTTTAATAGTACTGGAAGGAGAGCTTACTACTCAAAGGTGTATGGCAGACGTCTTCTCGAATGCATCAAACATTTCCCTCTGCCTGGTGTTACTTATTTTACCCACTTTTTACTTGGGTCGTCTTACTTACAAATCTTCCTTAAAGAATTTAAGATGTTCATGATCGTTTCCACCTACTCTTTTTCATCGCTAGACCCTTTCAAAGCGAAGGACAAATCTGCTAAAGGACCAATTCCACATAATCCTGGCAACTTGGATCTTGATGGCCCCGCTAATGCATCTACAAGTGAAGGGCCAAGAAACTTAATAATCCCCATTGAAATGTTACCAAGCAACCGCCAAACGCCCCAAAAAGATGATACAGGTAGGTAACCAAGTGTTAAATCTACGGGGTCGACTAAAGAACTCGAAAAAAAAAAGGGAGAGAAGTTCGAGAGTATATTTCCTGCGTCAAGAAATATCTTATGATAACTTCGAGCTGTGGTGTTATAACTTAAAAAATCTTTTCCATGGCTTATCTGTTCTTTTCCGGAGCCTTCCGTGGTCGCGTGAGGGCTCTTAGCCATTAAGGGTCAGTGTTATAAAGACGTCGTTTGATATCATGGCCACATATGACACAAAAGTGAAATATTTCCATTAAGGAACGATCCACATTTGCAGTCATACTTCCGACTTTGCAACTACGAAGACACAGTGTGTGATAACTAAGTGTTATTGTTCTTCCTTCAGCCTTGACAACTGAAAAGTTTACTTACATCTAGTGTTATTTCCACGCAGAAAATGGAAAATCAGAGCCTTCATCACCTCCTAATTTCACTTTGGAAAAACGTCCACGGAACAGTTCAAGCGGTGTTGCACGTTATCAGCCGGAGCGGAGTAAACTGGTAAAGTTCATGGAATAAGATAGATTATTCATTTCCGAAGTTAACTTTTACTCCACATACTCCAAAATAATCATGTACTTTGAAGTTGATCAAACGCAGAGACGATTCTCTCGTAAAAAAACATAGCTTTGACATACGATGCTCTGATGTTTATGATATACCAGCCAAACAAGAGGAGAAAATTATATTTCTTTCCTTCACCCACTGCGCAAAATCTTGCGTTTAGCCGGCAAGCTTCTCTATTCTATGGACCAGAGGAGACATACTTACCTTTGTAAAACTCAGTTTATGAAACATGGAGTGTATGAAGGAAAGGAACACCAATTTTCTTTTCTGCGCGTATCATAAAGAAATAGTTGGGGATGATAATTGTTCAGCCCTGTTATCCTCGTGAAGGGAAAGGACTCTTGTAATGTTTTCAAGGTTTCTTTAGATCCTATCACCTAAATTGTATCCGAACAATTGGGTCCTAACACTCCAGGTCAAAGTGGCCCTAGTTCTTTTGTTGTGGTCGGATATCGCATAAATTTGCTTAATTATTGTTGACATGTTTTTGTCATAAATTCCGATCTTTTTCCCTTTAATCCTGCAGCCATATAGGAATGTCCGTGGAGAACTTGTGAGACCAGATACACGATTACGAACTTCACAAGACTCGCAGAACACAAAACCAGAAACACTTCCAAACCGGTCGAAGCCCGTTGGGTCCCAGACTCACAGCAGGGAATCATCGGATGCAAGCTACATCACCTACGTGGTCTGATGGCGCGGTAATCTGTCTCCCAAACAGGTCACTATTGTTGCTTTGAACCCAAGACATCTAATTAACGTCCATACAAGTATCAATAACAGCTATGAGCCCATCTGAGTACATAGCTTTCAGAGCTGCAGAATGACTTCATTCAAGGAAGACAACTTACGTCCACATGGCCAGCCTTAAATTCCATCTTTGGGCCTGATTCACTCAACTGGCCCGATCTAACGAAAATCTAACGAAATTCAAAAAAGACTTAACAGTGAACTTAGACATACTTATGTACAATAAAGTTACCGAGGGAATATTGCTTGCCAATGGTATCCGGTTAGATCGCACCATGGTTAGATCGCTCCCAGTTAGATCGCTCCAACCAAAAGTTAGATCGCTCCACTCGAAAGTTAGATCGCTCCATCAAATAAGTTACTTCGCTGCCAACAAGGTACTTCGTTTCATGTTTTAATGTGAAGTATTGCTTAGCAATGATCTTTAAAGTTCATGGGTGATGATGTGTCTTACGACGATTCGAGTACATTGTATTCACTCTGTCCTTCAGATTAACCACCTATATATTTATATATATATATATAGGTGACTAGAAGTATAGCGATGATGGAATAAATGATCGTGGTTACACTTCGTGAGTCCGTCACATGATGTTTTATTTGTTCTTTCTGCGTAACTCGGATTTATTACAAGCGCGCGCGAGCGATATTAATCGATTGTTAGGTAAGATATACACGTCATTTGATGAATTAGCAACTCAGATAGCTTAGTTTTGCTACCTTTACTTTAGTTTTCTACATGGAGCGAAGTAATTTATGTTGGGAGCGAAGTAACTTATATTGATGGAGCGATCTAACTTTCGAGTGGAGCGATCTAACTGGGAGCGATCTAACCATGGTGCGATCTAACCGTAATTCCTTGCCAATATATCCCACGTAAGTGAACGGTGAATTTCGTAGAATGGCTAAGTGCTGGTTTCCGCTAAACATTCCGAGTGTTTGCCGTTACACAGACGAATACAGCGGCTTTGGGGTATCACATTTTTCAACCAAAAGGATGCAATGCATTTTGACCTTTCCGTAAGTTACAATGTTTATATTTGTGAAAAATGCTTTGTGTCGCACATAAATGCGTAACAACATCAAAATATATAATTAAGAAGGAAACCAACAACTGAAGAAAAGGTAACATTCATTAAGTACATCAATTTGTGGAATTTTCGGTTTCATTAATAGAGACATTCTTATTCTCTCGGTAGTCAATATTAAAAAGAAGCTTCCAAATATTGTTCCTCGAACAATTTGACTCGAATTTTGGTGCACTGTATGTTAATAGTAGAGAGGTGATTAACTTAATTTTGTAGAGCGTTTCTTTCTTTCGGCAGTTAGTATCAGGCTTTGGAAGCCGTGGTGAATAGGAGGCAATTGAGAGGAATTCGACCAAGGGTTTTTTTTTTGTTATTCGTTTTGCTACTATTAAGTAGAAGCAGTATTTATTGAAACAGTTTATTCACCTCCATGTTGTTATGATGATGGATATATTCTTCACTTTTGGTATATATAATTTTGATAGGAAGCGTTCGAAGGCAAATGCCTCAGTAATATTCTGTCAGCTGCTGCTGTAGTTTGTTTCAATCACACTATCAGTTAGAGATAACCATAGGTAATTATGTGAGATTATATTGCTTAATAGGAAATCTTTATTTTTGATCAGTTCGAAAAAGGGCTATACATTTTGATAATAGAAATAAAATATTCAGAGTAAAAATGTTGTCACCAGACTCTTATTAATAACCCCTTAATCCTCTAGAAAAGTGATGTGAGGGAGGGACGTAGTTCAGTATGATTAAGTCATTTGTTTATCTCTAGTATTTCGATGCAATTTGAATTCAAAATATGAAGTTATTTGGGTTCAAGTTATCGCGATAAGTTTCCTGATTGCGACAGCCTTGTTGTGTTCTACGTAGAGAACGCATACCATTCATGTTCTTTTTCAGTCTCGCGGGTTTCATGATATCCCGCAGGTATCGATCCGAAGCCAGACCGTTTCAGCTTATCGACGCCATTTTGGACCACCTCAATTTCATGCAAGAGCTTTAGATCACGCTGGCCAAGTGAGGTTCCGCAGGTTGACTCGCTTCGGTTTTGACGCCTTGTAGTAAAATTGCACCCATTTGATCAAACGTGAGAGGTCTTGTCGAACTCACATATACGTGGAAGGTTCACCAGTTTGCAACACATTAGCCATAAAAGATCATTCTTAATAAATTCCGCATGTCCTGGGAGATAATGTTCAGGACTGACTGTCAACGGCATTCATTCTTTGTATAACAGGTATCATAAAATGTCCTCATAGATAAAAATTCAACCAAAGAACCATATCATTTTGACTTTTAACTGAAGTATTGTGAAATATGGTTGGTTTTGAAAATACACAACAAACCAGAAAAAAAATTAAAGAACTTGTATTCAAACCTGGACTCACAGGCTGGATAAACAAAATTCTTAGGAAAAGAAATGTGCACTAATGAGAAAGCTAACCAAACGTTTTTTACAACACCTGCCTGTACCTATACGGCATGTAGTAAAGTCTTTTGAAGTAGTCATAAACCCAGTTGCAGATAGCACATGACTGTACAAGTTATGTGGAAGGTTCCTGCATGGGGGCTAACATTTCAATTACCTCAGCAAACTGTAATCATTAGAATTGCAAGCCAAGGTGTATTTACCATGTGCTCAAGTTTCCAAATTAGTCACCAAACTCTTACAGTGGAGTTCAATCCTTTTTAAGGCTATCTTCAGCTTGATCATCCTGTTACATGTGAAAACATGAAATGTTACTCACACATTCAAATAATTACCTGAATCAATAGTTCTAATTTTTTAATAGCCCGCTTCCTTTAACTGTGCTCCATGAATAATAATTGAAGAGAAAGAAGGAAAGTTCTTAAAACATTCTATGTTGAATGAAACTTTGTTATAAATGTCAATTGTGATTGCAATAAAAACATCTGTGAAGCTGTAATAACAATTATCTTTCCAGGTAAACAAACCAAAATGAAGCATGCTATCAATAAATTCAATCTCACCCAGTTTGAATATAGAATCCAAAATCTAATTAACTTACTGGTGAATAGGAAAAGGCTCAATGTGTTTTTCCTGCTTCTGTTATTCTAAATATCACAAATCAATCATGTCACCATCTTCAGTGGGATTTT